AGGCGAAAAACTCGCGGCACGCTTAGTAAGTAAGGCTATGTCGGCAAAAATTAAAACTGGTTCTGGTTTGAGCAAAAAGCGTTCTCCCAAAGTTACATCTGGAAAAGGATTAAAAAGCAAATTAAAAACTGTTATTACAAAAGTAAAAAGACACATAAAAAAATTAAAACCTAAGAGCAAGAAAATGGCTATAGAATTAGCTATTGCCGCTACCAGAGAATTAGCTAATGATTCATCGATTAAGCTCCCTCGCGTTATTCCTATTCCAAAAACTGGGGGAGTACTACCTCTGATTCCTATTTTTGCGGGGTTATCAGCGGCGGGAGCTTAGCAGGCGGTGCAGCTGGTATTGCTAAAACCATAAATGAATTTAAAATGGCTAAAAAGCTGTATGAGGAATCGAGGAGACATAATGAAAAAATGGAAGCTCTATGTATTGGGAAAGGACTACACCTTAAACCCACATAAAAGTGGTCTTGGAATTTTCGTATTAAAAGAAAAAAACTAAGATATCGGCTACCCAAACGGGCCTTAACTAACTTTGACATTTTAAAGTATGGAAATAGAATTCCTTATTTTAGAGGTGTCTTTATGAGAGATGAGCTCCCTAAATATCCGTATAAAAAAGAATGTGGAGTTATTAATTTAGATAGTTCTAAAAATCCTGGTTCTCATTGGGTAGCCTATGCAAAATATAATGATTATGTTGAGTATTTCGACAGTTACGGGAATCTTAAGCCACCAAAGGAATTTGTAAATATGTAGGTTCTAACATTCAATATAATTATGAAAATATACAACGTGATCACCCCTTCAACTGTGGACATCTTTGTTTACACTTCTTAAACAATTTTTGGTCAACGAAGCAATAAAATGAACAGGATCTTTCATAACAGTCCAGTATATAAGCCATGTCTACTACGGTTACCATCTCTGGAAATAAATCAGAACTGGTCTCGTATTTTTCAACCACCTCTTCATTTATCTGATCAATACGAGTGCGGTTTACTATACTTTTCAGTATTTAATTCAAGACCAGATATTTCAGTTAAAACTAGTAATCTGTCTGTGATCAAAATTGAATGTGATCTTGTGTACGGTTCATACTGCAATGGATTACCAACACATTTTATTCATGAATTTGTATCAGATACTGCTCTAAGTCATGGTTATAAAGAAATACCACAAAACGTTATTTACTTTCCAGTGAACAAAAATATAATTTCATCCATATCTGTTAAAATTGTTGATCAATTTGGTCACTGTATTAACTTCGAAGAAGAATATATTCAGTTACGTCTGCACTTAAGAAAAAACAAAATGATAGTATATTATAAAAGCACTCCAGTAAAAATAAATCGGTTTATTTCTTCTGCAACCGCTAAGGCGCAAAGACGTAATACAAAAATTAAGAAACTGACTAAAGCAAATAAAGATTTTCTTAAAGCTCTGGGTTTTAAAGTATGAATATGCTACAGATTACTGAATTACCGCATTTCGACAGTTCGATTGAAAGTTATGAAATCCATTCGTACAATCCCTACAATAACAGCTTTAGAGAAAACGATGAAATCAGAATCCCCATACATCAGCAAGATATATACGTGCTACCATCAGCCAGTTCAATTTACATCGAAGGACAGGCAAGGCTGTTCGGTAAAGATGGGAATCCGATCAAGAAAACTGTTACGTTCACTAATAACCCTGTTATGTCTTTGTTTCAAGACATCAGATACGAAATGAATGGTATCGAAATAGACCGTATTAAAAATTCAGGAATTACGTCAACAATAAAAGCATACATTTCATTAAATGAAGCAGAAAATAAAGTTGCAGCCTTATGGGGTTGGAACTTAGCGGGATTCCAAAATGATGGACATTTTAGTGCTGTGATACCATTGAATAAGATTTTAGGGTTTGCAGAAGATTACAATAAAATTGTGATAAATTGTAAACACGAACTTATTTTGAGTAGAAGCAACTCTAACTTAAATAGTGTTATTCTCACTGATGATGTTGTTAATTTTCAAATAGATATACAAAGAGTCCAATGGAGGGTGCCACATATAAAAGTGTCAGATCGAGAACGACTAACACTTTTAAAACATTAGAAAGAGATAAACCTATTCAGATGGCTTTTAGAAATTGGGATTTATATGAGTATCCCTTGCTACCTAAAACTACAAAGCATTCTTGGTCAGTTAAAACAGCTTCACAATTGGAAAAGCCTAGATATGTTATATTTTGCTTGCAAACTAATAGGAGAAATAATAGGACTAAAGACAGTTCACTATTCGATCATTGTGAAGTGACCAACGTAACACTCTTTTTGAATTCGCAATATTATCCCTACGAACCTTTGAGTTTAAAGTTTTCTGAGAACAAGTACAGTATATTATATGAAATGTATGTGAAATTTCGTCAGTCGTATTACAACAGTCCTGTTGACCCATTGCTAGATCTAACAGATTTTAAAGAAAAGGCTCCCCTTTTCATCTTAGATTGCTCAAGACAAAACGATAGTTTAAAAACCGGTCCAGTGGACGTGCGGTTAGAAGTTGAATGTTCCACACCAATACCAGATAAGACAACTGCGTATTGTTTGATTATAAACGATCGACTTGTGGAATACAAACCTCTCAGCAACATTGTGCGCAGATTATCATGATTGCTGTTGTTGATATTCAAGGATTTAGAACAGAAGCAGGTGAATTTATATTAAAAGAAATCGCTATATTGTGTAACAAAAAAACTACAAGTGTTTTTAGTTAAGCCACCATTTCCATTTAAAAAATTTAACGGAATCTGAAAAGAAGGTAGTTCTTTGGATTCAACGTAACAAAAAGATATACTGGAGTGAAGGATTTGTACCTTATTCCAATTACCAGACTTTGGTTTCCGATATATTAAGAGATAAATGTGTTTATGTTAAAGGTTCAGAAAAAGTTTTATGGTTAAAGCATATTTTAGAAAATAGTAATAGTAATATATTTAATTTAGAAGATAAGGGTTGTTCTAGTTTAGTACATTTATATGATCAATATAAACATTCGCAAGATATGTATAATTGTATTTATCATAACTCTGTATGTGCTTTAAAAAATATATTGTGTTTAAATAAATGGTGCCATGATAATAAAATTTTTATGAAATAAAAAAAACTTGTTTAATTTTTTATAATATGTTTACTATCTCTCCCAATCCTGTACAATCACGTTTATAAATTGCTTGCAGCATTAAAGCAATGTCATTTTATGTTTATAATTATTAGCATCAAGAACTAGTACCAAATAAATAAAATATGTTTCAAACTGAATATAAACCTCGATATGATATGTATAATGCATACAAAATACGTGAATTATCCTTTAATTATTACTGGGGGACGAATAATTCAAAGAAAAGATTAGTGATGGAAATGGCTGATGCTGGATTCTTTTATTACGGAAATAATCCATATGATAAAGCAGCATGTTTTTCATGTGGAGGCGTTATAGAAGATTGGGAAATTTATGATGATCCTTGGATGCAGCATGCTATAAATTTTCCACAGTGTTTTTATTTGAACGCGGTGAAAGGGGGGGAATATGTCAATAAGTGGCAAAACATCATCAAGAATTGTGTTAGTGAGAAATCTTGCATATATGGAAGCGCATCGAATGAATGATGTCACACAATATACGTCTCATTAATGTAAACAAAGTGCATGAAGCGGTTCGCTATTTTGTTACATATTCGACGACACGTTTGGCTTAATGGTTAAGACCCTGGTCACAACTGAGTGCAATATTATAACACGTTCTTCAACCACAAAGACGAAGTGTCGTGGGTTCAATTCCCACACAGACAAGTTGATATTAGTTCTGGTCTGGTTTTTTGTTTGAGTTTAAATGAAGTTTTCACAATAACATTTAATTTAACCGCTGAATATTATGATCAAGAAACAGATTAAAATAATATGTTAGTAGAAGATTAAAATGTGGAAAATAGGGTATCCAGATCTCTGATCTGGATGCCCTATTTTCTAACTACTCATTTCTGTTTTGTTGGTGGTATGATGTTACTACTGATGCATCATGTGACATATGATCGATAAAGTAACACGAGTTCATATTTTACTATTTCTGTCCTATTTTAATAGTTCTATATCCAATATGGTTTTTTATTATATCTTTTCCTGGAGGTCGGTGGTAATCAATAGTTTCAGCAAATGTATAGGTGGTAAAAACATATTTTTAAGCTTTTATTGCATTTCGATGATCGACTAGTAATGTACATCTATCGTATCCGTTGATTGAATCAGCAATCAATGAACAATGTGATATCAGCCCGCCTCAATTGCCGCGGAGCCCCGTAGCGAGCGACCTTGCTATCAATTTGATGACCGGCACGCCACACGTTTGCCGGCGGATTTAATTTTTATACACATCTTGTGTCACAACTGCACAATCAATGTATTTTGTTCTCCGGTTAGCAGATGAATACAGAGTAGGTAGAGGGAAATGATGAATGCAACAGTACTCGGTAATACTTATTCAACCAATTGAACGATGTTCAGTAGTATCGCTACAGACTTTCGATGAGTCATTATCGTATATTCCGATGAAGCTCTCGGCTTATACAAATGATCATTCGGAACAATATTTTCGCAATAAAATAAATACTAATTACGCTTAAGCTGGGGTAAATATAATTAATATCAGCTTTGTATATAATTCTCATTATGGGGATAAACAATAATTAGGATTATGATCGGATTATCAAGATAGCGAATTCTTAAATAGGACTTATTTTATCAGTAATGAGTAGGCAGTTAATTATGAAGTATTCTATTTTACATTACGTTTTGGAATTAGAAGCCCGATCAATAAAGCATGGCATTCTCAGATAGACCACACCTTTAAAATATAACGTTAACATTCCTATCAGGATGTCGTTTAAAGGAAATTATTTCTGAGGAAAATCTTGAAGGTAGAAATAGAAATGTTTGTAGCACTTACTTGAACTGCCTGGTGGAATAGTAGCAGCAATCTTCTTCTTTCTCAAGGACAACTGCCAATTGGACATCATTGAAGGTCATCTTATGTGTTTCACCTATACCTTGCGGCCAATACCAGTGACATTTTATTTCGTTTTTCTCTATCACTTTGTTTAGCATTAATATAGCTTTTGTATTCTGTTCCCAGATCATCAACCAAAAGTGGCCCACGGTGAATGCCAAGGGACCTTGAGTTAGAATATAACGGCGGTTGGCACGCTCCATCTGTGGACAAAACAAATGACATGTCAAGCATAGCGCTGCAAATGCAGCTTCAGTGCTTACAAAGCAACTTTTTCTGCTTCTTTAAACACTTTGGTACTTAATTACTGTATACTACTTATATATCACGGCTACTTATCGGTATCTACATGCCTCTCCGCTGTTGAATAATTTCATATAAATTCTAAATCGTTGACTATTCAGTAAATTGTAACGTTTTCTCAGCACATTAACTAACTATTGAAAGCTATGCCTACCACATTTTGTTGAGTTTTAACACACGAACTGAAGATAGCTAAGTTTCGTCTCATTTTTTGCAAATCGATGAATACTCTAATTTCTTTCTTAATTTATAACGGTTTCATGAATAAACAGAATAGAAAAGAGATAAATGTAATATAATTATAACATTAAGACTTGTTGATGCAAGCTTTGGCCTAAACTACTTCAGACTACTAAAAGCTGTTTTCTAAAAAGAGCCAGTTGAGACAATAATTGAAATATAAAGATTTCTTAAGACTTACTTACTTCTAGATCTTTTCTAATAGCATTTATAAATTAATAAGGGGGTGTAGTAGAAATAGGTTTTGGGTTGGCTGGGCTGTTGCCGCTTGAGTTATGGAAAAAAGGCAACCACTTTACTATTCTTTTTCAGAACAAGTACACGTTCGTCACCGTTTGAAAATCACAAAAAAAGGAAGTTCCATGTGTGATTTTATAGATTTTTATATGCATATATCTTTGAATTTGTGAACAGACGTTACGCGAGGGCAACTCTCAGACGTAACATATACTTTTTACGTATCAGGCCACGAGAAACGAGATAACATTCTTTAGATGAGGCAATTAAAGTTGCAAACTGCACTATCGTCGTCCCTAAGGTATTGCTTATTAAAACTTTCGAGCCCGGAGGTGACGGGCGACAACATAAAAATATGATAAAAATGTTTGTGCAGTTTGCAATCAGCTTGATGTAAAATATTTCTTGCCTTGTTAACTACACAGACGAAAATACTTAAAGAAAGTATTTTCAAGCTACACATTTTAAAGGCAGACTATGCGTCGTACGAACTTAGACCCAGATGCTAATGTACAGTTCACAAATATATAGAATTCTATAGAAGTACTCCATACATTTTAGAAATGGAAGAGGTAAGTAATTTTGTATCATAAACTTTCAATATATTTAATATAAATAATTATTTCAAACTAGGTATACAAGCACACGTGAACGTTTATGTTTCACTGCACATAAATGAAAATTATATATTAACGACTAGATGCCTAATTGCAAAGCGACAGCAGAAACTGGCGTACAAATAATTGTAGTAATTATATCACTGTACAATTTTCCACTTATAAACGGCCTTTGTGCATTTCTAGTTGAATTTATGATCAGACAGGGATTGTTAAATGATGGACATAAATCGGTAACACGCTAAAGTTTACAAACCGAAGACTTTTGATTTATTATTTATGTGTTATGTAGGCGGTAAAGTAAAGACAAGATGCTGACAAGGGCGTGGTTACTACTGAAGAATTTCGTAATCTTTGTATAAAATGGTCGTTTAATTGTTTAAACGGTCCTCATTCATGAAACCACAGTCTAAAACTGCAACGTAGTTACTATCTTATCACATAGACATCTTTTTACATGTTGATGTACAGTTTCATTCGATAATAACGTCAACCTGAGTTAACAATGAAGCGGCAGGGATGTCGAGCTGGTACAAATCAGCTCTTTGACGGCTAGGGCTGTGCTCATAGAGGGGCTCAAATTGCAATCAAAGCGACTGATGTGACCTCACTTAGGTATGCATACGTAAATATGTGACGTCACAGGTCAGGCACAAAGAGTCCATGATTAATTGCATCGCTGTCACGCGTCTGTTTACAAACTACGTAAAGAGTATTCAGAGTTTAGCATGCCACTGTCCGAATATGATTTGTTAACTTTACCACGTTAAAGTTTATCTACTGTTCTTTATAATAAGGGTCAAAATTAAATAACACGTTTTTGTGCTCTATTACTTTCCTTTTCTTTTCGTTATGTATACAATATCAAGTAGATAGGACGGATATTATAGCTCAATTTACCAAGTCTGAATATTATGCATCGTCATATGTTTTAATAGGAAATGGTCGGGTTATCCAATTTTAATATATGTCCCTTTCCTACTCCGCGGAGATTAGACGGTAGTCGCAGAAACGAAACCACTTGTTCCATAAACTCTTCGATAGTTGGACAACTTTTTTTTGAGCCGTGGGTTGCAAGTTATCCTTTTTTCCAAGAAGATAGATAAGACTGCATTGATATTACTAAGCAATTAAAGTAGTTGGTCTACATTTGTAGATCCAAGTATCGACAATTACAAACTTTATAACTTCAGCACTTAAAACTGTAGCAAACTTTCTATTGCTTGATCAAATATAGATACGTGTAGTGTCAGTTTCTGAGTACTAAATCGAGCTCTGCACCGACAAGTTATGAATAAAACCAATAAGTAATAGCTGTATTTTTCCAATGTAGTCTGTTTTAAATCGGTGCCATTACAGTTTTCCATTGAAACATTGTTATAACATTAAGTCGTTCCCAACGACGAGATGTCAGTTGAATGGTGTCAACGTGAAATAAGATGTACGTACGTCGAGTAGGAGTTGGACCACTTTTGTCCCGGTGTAAGTTATGTGCATTATCAAGAATCAGCATTTTAATAGGCGGCGAGATGTCGACATCCGTTTAGAATTTATAAAGGTGAGGTATCTGTGACGTTAGAGAAGGTGTACCTACTTTATACAGTACCTACTAATTCCGACTATTTAAAATCATATTTTTTCGGTGTAGCGATGTTTATGGATATCCCACCTGCAAGCACGAAGCGGTTCGTCTCAATCAGAACCGCTGAGGAATGGGACTCTTTGCCGGAGTCTGTGATCCCCGAAAGGTAGAATAACGTGGGTGTCTTCAAGGCCAGAGAGAGTAGGTTCCTTATGGGTAGGCGTGCTTTACCGAGGAGGCATCATCGCTTATTGCCAACCGTGATAGACAACAGCGGACAACTTCCTGCCCACTAACAAATAAAAAAATCCTGCCCATTAAGAAATAAAAAAGAAGCCATAGGCTCGCTCGACATGGGAATTATATAATCGGCAAAGAGAGGTTGTGCATAGTGTGCACCTTTGCCAAAATACTTTGGGGAATAAAAGGCGAGACGCTACATTAGATGACAGTCCACAGCTTGAATAATAGCATGTGCTAAGTCACCAAGTTCCAAGTTTTGTCAGAGACGGGTATGTCGAACTTACACAAGTTCAATAGATTAAGTGTGATCATGATGAAGCCAGGAGTGAAACTTTGCTCATCAAACTGCAAATTCAGTGGATATTTACCTGTAGTTTGACACTGACCTATGTTGTTGGTTATATTTCATAGATTAATAATCAGTAGCATTCAAGTTTAATAAGTATTATATAAATATTTTATTCATTGCCTTATGTATGGTTTTGATTATGAACTTTGAGATTCTTGTTCCAATTTATCTAAAGAAGCAATCTGGACTGTAAGTTTTAGGTTTACACCTAGTCATCGTTCTCCAAAGTATCACATAAATCAGATTGAAAAGATAATCTTTATACTTTATTCCATTCTTTTATTACAAAACAAAGTATATTACAACAGGTACCTTCCACTTTAAAATACAGAATGCTACGCCTAAAAGTAAACAAACAAGCAAGAGCGTTGTTAGCGATTTTATGTCCAATTACAACCCGAGCGCTGTACAAAAAGTCTATAAAAATAAACATAGATTTGGTTTAAATTCCGAGTATACAGTAAAAAATTTGATGCACCATCTGTTCATAGAAATATCAGATTACCTAGCATTCGCGGCTATTCAAATCAACAAACAGCAAATAGATACACACTAATTGAATACGAATTTGTTTTCAGCTTCATCGGAACAGAGAGCTATGTTATCACAACACAACAATATATAATTTATAGTTTCCAGTTTCATTTCAACTTTTTGCGAACGAAAAAAGCTTATACCTATAAAAAGAGTAAAAACTGTAAGTATATTATTTATTACAACATTTTAAAAACGGGTTTTAAAAAGTACGGCAAAATATTTCAGTATCTAGGAGGGTACTTTAATGGCAGTCACGAGAAAGGACACTGTCGAAATTCCAGACACTTTCAGTGGAAAATTGATATCAACCATAATTTCAATACGTATATTTACAAAGACTTGTATATTTATCATCGTCTATAACCATCATTTTAATAGTTAAAAAAAATACAAAACACATTGAAGTTAATTAAATAGTAATTTTAATACACAGATTATTTTAGGTGTTAAGTATATAAAACCTTTTTAATAGTGCCTTTATTATCTCTCCCAATAAAATGTTGAATTGTCAAAATCCACTTTGATGTGCCTGACACGACCCATAAACATTACCCATAGATTATATAAGAAAATTAATTAAACTTGTAAGCCTTATTATTATAAGGGCAAAATATTTGCGCAATCATAATAAATCTAAACAACAATTTAAAGTTTACAGTTTAGTGATTAATCTTTTTTATGTGTTAGTCGGTAAATAAGATGGCCGAAAACCTGATGGTGCGAGCAATCGGCGCTGACTTTTGTACGCCGGCAACACTAGAGGAATCACAAACATGTAGGCTACTTGACTTGTTGGGGGTTGTTAGTTATTTTAGAATTTGGGGTTTGGGATTGCGGGAAAGATTAAGCAATCAAGACGCAAGCAGTGCAAAGTTCTACTTAAGTGACGGTCCAGCATTCGTGCCGAAGCATGTCAATAATGAAACTTATATCTATGGTAATTTTAGTTTAGACCTTGATATAATAAGAACCAACGTTCATTAAAGTCTATTTAGTAGTTTCCATGAATATGGACTAAAAAGTTAGTACCTATCTGAACTTTTTTTTGTAAGGGAATAATCATCAAAATACTTGTCCCGTCCATGGTAAGGCTAC